CTAGTCGCATCTATGCGCAGTGTCGGGAAGGGAATCCTGTGCATCCTCGGCAGCCCATGGGATGTTGACGACCCACCGAATCACACGGGAACGATGTGTGTCGAACGGCAACGAGAGTTGCTCAGCTGTGGATCCAGAAAGGTGTGCTACTTACAACTCTGCTCCGCATAACAGATACAAGTAACCCCCTAAACTAAACCCTAATCTAAAGCCGCGAAAGGTCGACCACGTTGTGTCGAGTTGCTGTTTGGATCGATCTTGACCTCGATGAGCTCTTTGAGTGCCTGGGCCAAGGTTCCATTCTCGATGCCTTCCTGCCTGCCTGCCTGCTGGCTGCTAACGCATCTCCATACTTGGTATACAAACCATCAGAGATGGGCAGACAGATGGATCCGCGGACATATCGGCAGACAGGCAGACGGACGTGCAAAAAGACGGGTACTCAGAGATGCCGGCCGATAGACAGAAGGCGCGATGGCTGTTACAAATGACTCATTGCAGGCAGTAGAGACCTTGCGGCAATTCAGACGGTCTTTCTGTAGATGCTTTCCCTAAGGGTCCAAGTACTACCCAAAACAATAAACAAGGACTACTTGGACCCCTAAGGTTTGTTATGAGCATTCTACGCTTTTCTGTGCCAGCTGTTTTCTTCCATCCTGTACCGTCAGGTCGGATTCTCGGGCTTTTTGGGTCTACGGTTTTTTTGGGGGTCACTTAGACTTGGTGTACTTCTAGGGGTTTCGATTCTTCATGCTTCACCTATAGGCTCCATTGTAGTTCCTGTTTGGGGTTCAGATGTAGAATCCTACAAGGCAGTCCCAAAAAGTAGCTACTATGGAGCCTATGGTTACTTCTAGGAGTTTCGGTATTTACCTGGACCCCAAAATAGGTAGAAGAATGGCCTTTTATAGGTGTTGGGCCATTATTTTACCTACTTTGGGGGGGTCTAGGTATGGTTTAAGAACGTTGAAGCTCCTCATCATTGCGATTTAGCGGCCATCAGGTTTCCACTCGAAGCTGCATCGCACAAGGCGGTGGCGGGGTCCTCGCAGCTTAGCACCTAATATGGGGGCCGTAATAATAACAATAAAACTAGTAATAGTAATAATCATAATAAGAAACATAATTAGAATAGGGTTGTGGGGCCCATTGTACTATAGATAACCACACATAAACAAACGTCTCCCCCGACACCCTAAACTCCTAAGACTTGAACTTCCGCAGATGCACGAAAAGCTCGGAACAAAAGCCGGCAGCTCTGGAACACGCCACCAAACCAAGAAAACTCCAGCAATCTCAGAGTCCCCCATCGCTAAGCCCTGCAAACCCTGACCGTTAACCCCAAATGACATACCTGTTAAGGACTTATACAAAAGAAGCCAAACTGAGGAGCCCAACAAAGGAAGATTGTTTCGAGTCCAGGTAACACTCTAATATACATGAGCAGTCCTCTAGATTGAGGTCCGCATTCTGATCGATCAAGATTTCCGTCACGGCGCTGAACTTTCCCAGGACCGCATCCTTGGTTCGTAGTGGAGTGTTGCGGTGCGGTGCGACTGATCAACAATAACACTGCTAACATGGACCAGTGTTCGTCTGCTGTTTTTTGCATCGTGCCGCAACATCGGATGCAAAAGCTTGTAGGAAGGAGGGTGCAGGCGCTAGGTTGTTTTGAGGTGATGCAGTAGCATGAACATACGATCGATGAATGTTGAAAGGCACCCCCCCCCTGCCAAAGTCGCAAAATATGACCCGGAACCTACGGCAAACATGTACATGACAAGACGGCTGTTGCATCCAAGCCGCCCGAAGGGGAGTTCCTTTCCAGCGATCTTGCAGATTGACGTTGCCTGCACGGGTCAGTGGGTTTTTCCACCCGCCCAGCAGACCAAGTCGCAACGCAGGGAAATTCGTCTCTGGGTGGTTCGGCTCTCACACTCGGACAATCCTGGCACTCTCTCCGGGTGTTTAGGGTTTAGAGGTGTGGGGTATAGCAGGTTGCTTAAGAAACGGGGCTGGGCGTGAAGTCTTCTGCCTTTCTGGTGCTGTATGGGTTCACAGCAGCGTGCCGCTGGTTTGGTTGGCCGCAAGCTTCCCAGCAATTCCGAACAACTGGGTGCACGGGCGAATTGGGTGCCTACCCTGCTTCCCGATTCGCCGCATTGCAATCTGTCGACCAGACTGTCGCGCTCCTCTCTCTCTCTCTCTCTCTCTCTCTCTCTCTCTCACGGACTGTCGTGCTCCTACAGACTTTAATATATAGGGGTCTAAACAATTACCGATACTATTTTGGGTGGTTCCTTACTATACTCTTACTATAATTGTAGTATATTGAGCCCCTCGAGCGTTGATTCTCAAGAGTGTGCTGGCAAATCCAACTCTGTAGAGTACTGTAGCTTCTGCCACTCACCTGGACTTTGGACTTTCAATGCTACAGTAGCATTCGACAACCCGCTTTGGGCTTTTGGAGGCCCTTCTTCCTTTCGATGTTGCCACTGTTCATGCCGCAATCCAGTTTTTTGTTACTGCGAGGGGTGCTGGTATGATGTCGGCAACTACCAGCGGCAGCTGAACATATCAAAGCCTAGGAGCTCAATAAGATCTTCTCAAAACAGCTTGTTATGGTCTTTTGCAACATGTCTCGAAGAATGCCAAATGCGTGATGAAATGTGCTCACGTGGATCCCTTGTAGTTCACTTTATTACGGAAACGATACGGAGATGGCGCAGCCAGGCGAGAAGCCAAGTACGCCGACAGGCGTTTTCGTAGATTGAAGTTGCGGGTTCAGTGGTTAGCAGTTTAGAGGCTAGGGGTTTTGGACTCTCGCAACTTGGACGGTCACAATGTCCGGAAGACATTAAGTGAACGTCGTCATAATGCACTTGTTCATGTGCCACGTTCGTGGGAGTCTTTTCTCAGGCCGACCCTGTCTTTCGTTTCGAACTTCCAGAACCCGTTGAAAGCAGTGCTATCAGTGTTCTAAAGCCTGAAGACCTGAATCTGTACTATAAGGGCCTTAATAATTACCTATACTGTTTCGGGGGTTCCTTGCTTTAGTCACAGTATAATGTTCGCCAAAATCCTATTCCGAATATTAAGGCCCCCATAGGCCCCATAGTACATGCATAGTGCAGGTGCGGTCTGCATGTTCCCACCTAAAGTGAACCCCAGAAAGTGAAAGTTGGAACATGGTTTTAGGATGATTAGTGCTGGGATTCCCTCCACTTTACCTTAAGGGAATGAGGATAACGATGTTCCAACTTTCTGTCTTCTACTGTAAAGCCTCGAATTTCCAAATCCCTGCAAGGCGAGGCGGGCCTTCGGCTTTCACCAGGGCCTTAATCACCTTGGGGCGTTTTTGTATTAATATGGGGGCCTTAATAATATTTAGAATAAGGGTTTCGGGGCCCATTGTATATTTGATACCAAGAAACCGCCCCAAAATGGTAAACGCAATTATGAAGGCCCCTTTGGTACGTAGTTTGTGGCCAGCTGTGTTTCTAATCGATCTGCTTTTCTGGGGTGGGGGGTGGGCTTAGAGTCGCTTGAGGTTTCGGACTGCGGGTTTCGGGGCATTCGAGGAGGTTACTGGCCCCCACCGGCCGCCGCATCGGCAGTTGTCAGGCCAGTTCAGGCCGCAGGACCGGCCGGGGCCGCAATGCTTTCTGAGAGGGTTGGGGGGTGTGTCTACGCTTTGGAGACCAAGGCAGCGTCACACAAGCCTGAAGCAAACATAAATATGTCCATCAGAGCACCCTGAGCCTTGGCCGCTACAAACCCTCAAAGCCCCTCCATGCAGATGTCAAAATCCGAATTCTGAAAGGCTTCTAGGCGCATTCTCTCTGCCCTCAGCGGCTGCAAGGTGCATCGCGGTTCGGCCATCGCAGTTCCTTGCTTCCATTGCACTTGTCAAGTTTGTTTTGAGGCTCATATCGTCCGGAAGCTGCCATGACTACAATGGATGCTTTCGAAAGCCGGGTCGTTCATCCTAACGAGAAGAAAAGGTGACACAGATTGAACGGGTGTACCGGGTATGCATAATCGTGCTCACCTTCGTCTACCGAATCCTGGTTGAGGGAGTGGTGATGGTGGTGGTGGTGGCGATGGTAACGGCGGCGGTGGTGGTCGTGATTGCGGCGGCATCACGATCAGCTTCATCAGCAGCATCGTCATCATCAGCAACATCATCATCGTCATCATCTTCATCATCCTCAGTAACAGCATCGTCATAGCTGTAGCTGCTGTAGCTGGTACATGCTGCCTTCATCGTCATTGCGGTTCCAGCACCGAACCAGCTGCAGCCGGAGAAGAAGCGCCAACATCAGTTTGCAACGATAGCAGTCGGTCAGTACAGGGGCAGTCGAATGTAGTCGTTATGTGCGGTCGTATACATTGTCTCTGCCGTTGTTTCTAGCTGCTGCGAGGGCATCACATGACTCGAAGTCGCAACTGAAGCAGTACCTTCTAAGTCTGGGTGCGAATGCTTTTCTTCATTCCGGCACCTTGTCCTGCAACGGTGTCCCAGTCAAAGCAGGAGGGCACTACTCAATTCGGTATGACCGAGCTTCGCTGTGTCGATGGAGACACGCTTGCGGAGAAGCAGCTCAACCTGTGACAGAAGCCGGGCCTATCTGTAAAAGCTCTGCAGCTGTAGGTCCAGGGCCCGCTTGCTGCGGTTCAGCGTTCAACGGAACTGCTTGTCATGCTATAGCCCCGTTTACGAGCTCCTGAATTCGATGCAGATAGAGTGCATCCTCTATAAGACTCTATAAGAGAAACTTCAACGGCCTCCATAGCCAGACCTTGACTGGGTCTTTGTGCTACGTTGGACATACCTTGCCTGCTCCAGATTCCCCTCCGCCGCCGCATTGATGAATGTGATGGACATGTGAGCGGTTCGACTCAGCAGCCTCATTTGCCAGTGCTGAGGGGTGCATTTGCGTTGCTCTGCAACCGCACGCCAGCACAGTAAAAATCCCTAAACCCTAAACCCCTAAACCCTAAACCAGTAAAACCCTAAACCCTGCTAAACAACCGCAGATCGAGCACTTGCTCCTCGAGACAAGCGACATCTGACGCACCGACTCCCTCATGTGCTGGAGGAACTCTGTCTCATCCTGCATAAAGATGCCACTTCAGGTTTAGGGGTTTAGGGTTTAGGACTGCTTTAGGCTTAGGGATTTAGGGTTTAGGGTTTTCTCCACTCAGAGTTGAAATCAGACTCTTATTTGTCGAACATCCACGAACAGGTGTTTCACTGTTCTCTTTGTAGGCTTCGTTGCTACAGGTGGGATAACCTCCGGCAGGAGCAGACGTGCTCGTTATAGCAACTAGCAAGCTTGCGTCCTGGCCATCGTGCATCACGGCGCCCTTTTTGAGATCGGTGCCATTCATGGATAGCTTCATTGACTGTGCGACGTTGTGAAGTAGCTGGTCCTGAGATGGCCACGCTTTTGGTTAAGCCACAATACGCTGGAACTGATGCTGCAGCGCCAATGCAGCTTGCACTTGCTAGATACTTCAAAACAGACCATGCTTTACAGAAGCTGAACTTGCTTACCAGATCCTGGCTGCTACCGTGTCATCACAAAATTGTTCTTCTTGCTCTTGCCATGTTTATCGTGCCTACCACTCCGGTCAAAAATTGGGGTGCTGCCGCTCCCAAACCCTAAATCCAAAACCTAAACACGAGATGTACGCCCTAAGCCCTAAACTCCTAACCCCAAAGCCCTAAGCCCTCAACCCTAGCGCAGCTCACCAGACTTTTGCGACAAATTCTGGCAACCCCATCAACCCCGAGAACATGTGTCATGTCGGGGTCTGAAGAGTAATTGGAAAAAGCTTTGGGGGGATGATATACTCTCACGACTCATGATGTAGCGACTGGCAGCGACTAAGAGTACTGATGACTGGTTACTCAAGCCATCTTTATTCGCACAAGTCTACTTTTCCAGACTTTTCCGCGTCAAGGCTCACTCTCACGGAACAGACCATGGACCCGATAGCTAGGTCCTAGGGCCTGAAACACTTCTCATAGACTCCCGTTTCATGCCAAGCTGCACGATCCGAGTCCAAATTCGACATGATCAACTCAAAGTTGTCTGTCGTGATCTTGAGGATGGAGGATTCGACACCGGAGCGAGACCGTACCTGGAGGCAGCTTCAGATTTTGGGTTAAGCGAGTTTAAATGACTTACTACGGTGGCCCTTTAATCTGAAACACATTCGTGAATAAGATCCTCCTAGGCCCAACAATTGCAAATATAATATGCCCAAATTGGCCTACCTAGTTTAGACTCAGAGTTTGACATGACCCTAGACCTGAGGATGCTGCTTCACATTGCTACTCATTTGCGTATGTCTGTACATATTGGGTTGAAACTTCAGAGGATAGCGCAAAGTGTGGAAAAAGGTTCGGAATACGCGCGCAAACGCAACAACGTAGACTAGACAAAGAAGGTTTTGCTGTGAACCTCTGGACACTGTGGAGGTAAAACTGCTTGTGAAAAACGACGACACACCCGGATTCTAAAGATACCTTCTCGGGCCAAGGTGCAGAGTAGAGATGCGGCATTTTCAGGACGAAAGACACCTCGCCCACAGCTGTGGGCTCATTCGGCCTATCCTGAGCCGGAAAGATATTGCAGTCCAACTTCGGTGTGGCTTTGTCTGGGGCTTCACCGAAACTACCGGGACTTGTGAGCAAATGGAGTGAAAAGGCTGAAGGAAGTCCACAAAAGTGAGTTGGCCTTAGGATGAGCCTGGCATAGAAGACTAGCCATAGATTGCCTTTGCCGGGAGACGCTTCTGACGTAACGCACCAGCTGCTCCTGCAAGCAGGTGTTCTGCGGGCTCGCGATGCAGTACAACGGAGAGCAATGGTGGCATGGTCCACTGGATTCAAGTATATTCAAATTGTCAGTAGCTAACTACACAACCAACAACGAACATGGGCGTTGAATTTAGAATGCCCAAGCTACTGTATGCACCTTTTCTGGGTTTAACTGAATAATTGACGAGCCTGGCCGTCTGCTCTCTCCTAAAAGCATCACGGCAGCAAGCTTCCTTATCGTGACCGTGACCGTTGCAGCCAGCCATTGTAGCAACTTTTGCTTTAATCCTGGAGCCTACTCTGGTAAGCATGGAGTGCACATCAAATCCGAAAGCTCCAACTCTTTGTGCTCGATTCTCCTGCGATGTGATCATGAGAGTGCCTGTCTCCAGAAAGCACAGATCCTGAGTGGGGCTGTCAAGGAATGATTCTGGCTACCGGGGAGCTATCGAGGTACGGGTCAAAAGCAAAAATAGCCCCTTAACGCGGGGCGCAACCAGGACTTCCTTTACGTGCGCAAACCGCTGCTTAAGGTGTACATCTGACAGACGTTCCCTACCTTCCAATCATCCCACGGTGTCGAGTATGGTTCGCTTTAGGATTGGGTTTCAGAACCTCCCCGTCCGTGCTAGAAGACCCTGATAATCAAAATAAACAGTGAGCCTCTCAAACTCAAACATAAGCAGTGACTCAATCCGACTCACACGAAACCTCCAGTTGTCCCTCAGCCGCAGCATAAGTCGTTCTTTTGGACAAGACGTCCATTGCCAAGCCAAGGGCGGGCTACCCTAAGACCCTAAGACTCCAAACAGCACAAAGTAGGTACTACTCACAGACTGTAGACCTCAATGTAGGTACTACTGTTGATGGGCAAAATCCTGCATGACCCTAAGGACTCTAAACTATTGGAACTATGGTATATTCCTTGTACTGGGTAATGCAGGGTTGTGTCCATCAACAGTATTTGTATACTTGGAGTCTTAGGGTTGCCCTTGCCAGAAGCCAGAACCACTTCCACACAAGTAGCTGCGGCTTTTGCCATCGGTACCTCCTTCACGATAGTGGGACATAGTTCAACGAAAAAACCATTACCCCCCCCACCCTAAACCCGAAACACGAATCCTGAACACTACTAAACAAACACAAACCCAAGGCCGTCGACCCGAACCCCAAACTCTGAATCCTAAACCTTCATCCTAAACCCTAAGCCCTAAACCCAAAACCCCAAACTCTGAATCCTAAACCTTCATCCTAAACCCTAAGCCCTAAACCCGAAACCCAAAATTCAAACTCCTAAACCTTTATCCTAAGCCCGAAGTCCTAAACCCCAAACCCCAAGCTCAAAATCCTAAGCCCAAAGCCCTGCTTCGCAAGCTGAAGCACTTGCGGCGCGTCGTTCTCGCAGAAGAGGAACTCCGAGGGCTGTAAAACCACGACCTGGCTAGGATGTGGGAGTTTCCAACAATAAGGGTAGGGTTTAGGGTTTAGGGTTTAGGGTGTAGAGGTTCCTGTCAAGGGCTCTATACTTAAGGGTTTAGGACCCCGAGCATAAATGTGTGGGAGTTTCCAAACATAAGGGTACCATAAGGGTTCCTTGAAAGGGCTCCTACCTAGCAAGGACGAAGCCCGCATGTAGGGTTGGGGGTTTATAGGATTTGGATCCGTAACAAGGTGTCTCTGAACCTTCTTCGATAAGGGTAGCAATATACGGGCCTTAATCATCACAAAACGGCTTGGGGGCTGTTGCAGTATGCCTGTGCAGGGAAACCCGTTGCAGCCGTAAGCACCATGAACCCGATTCTGCGGCTTGTCGGAAAGGCGCGGAGAAGAGGAATTGGGGGTTAACAGGGTTTCGGGAGGCTTTGTTCAGGCAGCATTTCGCCGATGCAATGCAGTACCATCCGTGCTCCGTGACTTACAGCGCAGGGCCTGAACCCGAAGACTTGTGGGCCTAGGGTTGAAGATTATATAATGATTCAGAGCCCTTCACACACCGATGTCCGCTGCATGCTAACCATACACAACCAAGTTTGGCACTTCGAAAACACAAAGTACGCTTTAGAGCTTACATCTCCAATCCAAACCAGCTCCTAGAAATCGTCACCTGCCTTGATCATCGTCAATAAGGCTATTTTCGGCAAACTGAAACCGCGTGCTGCCTAGTCTGATACTGAGATCGGTTTCGGCACATACCAGCTCATGCGACGGTTGCAAACCTCCGATTCATGTCGGCAGCAGCGGTTGGCAAAAGACTGCCGCCATCTGACCCGACTTCTTGGGATTGGGTCTTTCGGGATCCTTCCGGCCTCCCATTCGATGGCCCTACCCGTCTAGTTCGACATAAGGTTTCGGGCGGTTTCGGGGATTCTTGCAGCATAGTTGTAGTGCGGAGCCTTCTAGTCTATAGAAATAGTCTTGGAAACTACCCAGGCTTCCGTAAAAGCCGCAACATCCCTGTCAGAGGCCTCGAGCTGATCGATGATCTGCAGCATGAAGTCAGAGCTGGCTCCGTTGAAAAGCTTCTCGTTGGCTTGGATGATGGGCAGGTAGATCTGGGCAATCCGGACCGTGCATGCGTGCTGGCACAAGGATTGGTTTATCCCACTTTGCAGACTCTGGCGCGAATGTAAGATCGGTGATCAGCCATCGGAAGCGGAAGACAAAACTAGAATGACCGATTGGGCCTCGCGGCTTGGTGCACGTGTGATCGGCGCTGGAGCTGCCATTCATACCCCCCGCACATGCTGACCATGCGACTAGCAAAGCTTTGGGGGCATCGTATAAGGAACCCAAAGAAATAGTATTAAAGCAATAATGCTTTAGGCTTCTATGCCAGGAGTCTTCTCTAATCTCGCGGCAGCGGGTGCTGCTAGGAACGGGATGGACATGGGCCCCTTTTGCAAACGAAACCATTTGTTCTGTAAGCCCTAAAATGCCAAGCCCTACAGCTGCCTGGGGAGGGTTATCGACTGGACTGAAGATGTGCGGCTTATCTAGCACCAGGGCGGGTGACTTGCTCTTTGACTTTCTTCTGCAAGTCCGGTGCGAAGGTCTTGAGCACCACCTGCCAACGGCCGCAAATGAAAGCGAGCCGAGGGAACAACACAGGAAGAGATACGGGCTGAAAACCCTACTCATTTCACGCCACGGCCGAGGTCAACATGCAGATGGACAATAGTAGTAGCAAGGCGGAGAAAAGACTACTTACCATCAGCAACAATAGAACAAGGGCAACACCGGCAACAATAATAAAATGCCAGCTGCAGCAGAAGACTATGGCAACCACCGCTGCTGCAGCCCTGCTGCAGCAATTCCAACAACATTTGCAAACCCTATGCTGAAAGCCGAAGCCACCGCAGAAGGAAGCCACAACACAACACCACCGCAATGATCGGGCCATCGTGTCATTCCAGGCCTCACGGTTGCCAACATCCCGGGCCTTGGACCACTGGAACATCATGTGCTGTCCTTGGTGGATGTCAGGGCATGTGCCAAGTGCGAAAGCTCAGGGTGTGAATCACTTGCGGCAGTAGTGACAATGACAACGCATGTCTTGCTAGCTTGTACTCGTCCGTCGTAACACCCTGAACCCTAACCATCTACCCTAAGCCCGAGACTTTGCATTGCCAAGCTGCGGATCGATTTGCGAATACTCGGCGGCAGGTCCAAGGAATCACCTTCCGGTCAGCAGAGGAATGCCCCGAGACTCTGCCGAATGGATCATGAAGCAAATTGGTCTTCAAGAAACCAGAGACCCGTAAGGCCTTTAGCAGGACCCTTGATGCAGGGACTCTTATAAAAGAGCCTGTAATTTTCTGCCAAGCCTTTGCTAAGCCCCCGGCACACCAGCTGCGCTTGATTCAAGAGTTGCTGCACCTCTCGAGCCAGATCCTTTTTCGTCTCCTGCACGGTTTAGGGTTTAGGGTTAGGGTTTAGGGTTTAGGGTTAGGGTTTAGGGCTCGGAGTTTCTAGCACTGGTGGTCTTCTTGAACATCGCTGCTGTGTATGCGGGCTCAGGCGGCGATAGAGAGGAACCCACACTAGCAAGCAAACAGCCCAAGTGACCGGTTGGCTACAACCACTGCGCCCCCAAGCAGCTCCTGCAGTTTGAAGAAAGATCCAATGACATAGGATTTCCTTGGCGTGCGGGGGTCAGCACTCACCCTTCTGTACCGGGAAGCCAGGTACCAAGGCTTTGCGGCCTAGCCGGAGCATCGTTTACCAACATCTTTGTGAGCCTTTGACCGCCGGTTAGCTTTATGCCGGACGTACTCTTCTCCCTATCGGGACACGTTTTGTTGGCGGTTCAAAGCATTCACAACTCGCTCGGTCTCCATCCTCTAATGCTCCGCTTCAGTACGGTCTTACCATGTTGCGAATGATCCGAAGGTCAGAGCTTGTGAGAATCCAGCCGCACATAGTGCCGATCGCTGTGCACACATCTGAAAACGAAACAATACTAGTGCCAGCCTGGATCCGTTGAGGGGCTTTGGTTCAGCTTAGAGTTCAGGTCTCATCAACAAATCATGCACCAGATTTCCGGACATAAGTTGGTCACTGAGGCACATCGCCAGCAGTCCAGCCGCGACAAACAGGATCAGCACAAATTCTTCAAGCCTCTCTGGCATTGACCCCTCATAGTTCCTGGGCCGATGGAGGGGTTCAGGGTTTACCCTAAGGCCCCAAAGTAGTTCCTTTTTGGGTTTCATATATAGAATTCTATAGGGTAATCCCAAAGAGGAACTACTTTGGGGCCTCTGGGTAAAGGCTCGCGAAGCCAAGATTTCGAGTTCAAGCTACCTGGAGGCAAGCAAACCCCAAAGCTACATCCGCCGACCAATATCGGTGTACACTAAGCCGTCGACTCCTTCTGTCATGAACGCTACTGCCGCTACAGCTAAGCTTCCATGATGGTGGTAGTTCAGTTGCTGTTGCTCTAGCATATACTCTCCCAGGTGCTGTTGCCACAGTTTTTGCAAGAACGACTTTGTTGATGTTTCTAATGCTGTCTTGCCGAGAAATTCCGTCATTTCTGCCTTGCCCTGATTAAGCCAACACCGCCTGGCTGAATGTCGCAATCATGGGTGCGAAAACTGGTAATGGGCTCGAAGCCTAGGCAACCTGCAAGTGATTCAGAAAAGTGAAAGCGTCGTATTGCATGGAACGAGGTTGTTATTTTGTGCTTAGTGCAATATACGCTAAAATAGGGGCCCTAATAAATAGAACAGGGTTTTGGGCCCATTATATTACGATTATAATCAGGAACCACCAAAAATGTATAGGTAATTGTCGAAGCCGCTATATTACAGCGAAGGAATCTCACCTGAGGCCTTTCTGGAGTCCTGCTCGAGCAAACATGGGGCATTTGAAGCATGGGTGGCTCTCTACAAAGCCCAAAGCGTTCCAAGCAGCCGGTTGAAGGCCTTGTAGTAAGCAGCCTCAATTACAAGTCAGAGAGGATCGGAGCGAAGGCTTCTGTGAAGTCAGCAGGAGCGCCTTCAAGTTGACTGGAGTATTCGATGTGTTGCAGATGCTTCAGATGACGATACAAAGTCTGAAGAATTAGCAAAAGGTTTTTGGAGTAATTCGTTTTACGTTTTCAATCTATTTACTATATACAGACATGTATCGAGAAACCCTACTTGGAATACTATTGCTACTTTCTCGTAATAAAGAAATATTCATATGCATATATATATATATATATGTATGTATATGTATGTGGTTCGGAGCGCGTGGATCTGCTGGCGGGGTCGCATGCACATGATTGCTGCAAGGGCCGCCGCTCTGCTACGCCAATGGGCATCAACCCAGCGGCCATGTCAGGGATCTGGCAGCTACCAAGAAAGAACTGCGCAGGGCCAGTCGATCTGATGTGGGCAGGCGTATCTCAGATACTGCTGCCGCGGCTGAGGTTCACTCTACGGGAGATGTTGTGTCCCGTTTGCAGTGTTTGATGGGCCGTTCGGAGAGGTGCACTCGCCAAGCCAAAGGCCTTCCAAAGCTCCAGAAGGCTGATTGCACACTCGCACAGACCCCCGAGGAGGTTGTTTGCACTTGGATTGCCCACTTCTCGGGGATCGAGGGAGGCCAGCCGGCTTCCCGCAAGCTTTTGCTAGGGCTTGTGTTGACTCTCAGCGACAAAGGGGCCTTGCGGGCCTTGTCGTCACCGCTGCTGATGTTCCCACCCATGTGAGCTGGAGGCGGCATTCCGAGGCACACAGCAGACAATATTCCAGCCGAAGCTTTGCATGCTGTGCCAGGTGCTGCGGCCCGTGCACTGTACTCGCTGGTGCCCGAATGCGATATGCGGGTCGAGCCCTTCCAATGAGGGGAGGCTCGATGTATGCGGTTTGAAAAAAGTAAAAGTAAATCTGCCCTGCACTTGTGCCAGTCCCATCGTGGGATTTTGGTTTCGTCTGTCATAGGCAAGTCTTACCACAAAATCCTTCGACAGAAAAACGTGCCCGCCTTGGCACATGCTGCGACAGCCTTCCAGGTCGGCGGACTCCCACAGCGCCCTGTGACGATTGCATTGCATGTCGTGAGGGCACACGAGCAACGGGCGCGACGACAAGGAAAATGCCAGGGCGTGATCTTCCTTGACCGCCTTCTATAGGATCATGCGACCCTTGGTTGTGGGATTCCAAGGCACCGACGCAGACATAGCTGCCATCATGGAGGAGGTTCATCTCCCTCCCCATGTCATGCATGACCTCCACTCTCACTTGGAGGAGCGCTGCCTCTTTGAGTCCGCTAGGGCTTCGCCCTGGCTCTCAGCTGCGACTGGGGAGGCTGAGCCACACTTGGTTCGGTTTGAGAATCATGAAACCATCACTGAGACGAGCATTGGCACACGGCCAGGCGAGAACCTGGCTGACATAGTGTTCAGCTTTCTGTTCGCCCGTGTCCTCCGGCAGGTGCGTACTGAGGTCGAGCAGAGGGTTGGCATTACCTTGGTGCCGTGGACGGGAGCAACCCCTGGCCGGTCTCTGGCCGTTGCCACTATGCTTGACAGCACCTGGATGGATGACTCCGCTCTTGTCCTTCAATCTCAGACTTCTGTGGCCCTTCCGGATAAGCTTAGGTGCACACTTGGGATCCTGCTTGACAGCTGCCTCGGCCGTGCGCCACTACCTAGTCTTGACCGTGGCAAAACGGAAACCATAGTCTCGTTGATTGGGGCGGGATGTCGTGGTGTCAACGGCCACCTTTTCCGTGATGACCCGCCGGTTCTCGAGGCCGATAGTCGGCTCTGGCGTGCTGCTGCCGTACAGCTCGTGCCGTGCTACAGGCATCTTGGTGGCCTCATTCAGCACAGCTGTGCCCTCTTTCGCGAGCTTCGCAGCCGAGTGGCGATGGCTTGGAGTGCCTTCAGCAAGAGACGCAAGGGCATTTTTGCGTCCAGGTTCGTTTCCGTGCCAAACAAGGTTGTCCTCTTCGACTCCTTAGTGCTCCCCGTTATGTTGTACGGGGCCGGGACCTGGCCTGCCCTCTCCACCGTGGAGGAGCGATGCCTCTCTACGCCGTACTTCCAGATGGCATGTAGCCTCCTGAAACCCACCTATGACGTCATGCAGGCCAGACTGTTCTGGTTCTGGCACCCTCCTGCATTTGGCCCGACTTTGTCATCTAGCCTCGACGCTAAGGAGAGCTGGTTATGGTCCGTGCCCCACTCCCTCCCAGGGCTGGGGGAACTGGTTGCGAATGAGGCGGAAACAATGGACCCGCAGCAGGCCTAGTGGCTGGAGCTCATTCAGGGTACACCAGGCTGGTGGAAGAGGAAGAGGCTCTTGCGCGAGGCCCAACAGAGGGTCGTCCGTCGGGAGGCGTGGGAGTCCGCTAAGGTGTACCACATGGCTCTTCTCTCTCGCAACTGCGACTGGCCGGAGGAATCCTGCTGGGTTCTATACCGGACGACTGGGACCGTCGACAGTGCTCCCTTGTCGGCAAGTGTTTCCTAGCTTCCAGGCATGGTCGGTCCGCACCTTCAAAACCCACGACAGGCATACTGGTGGGAGTCCTAGTGGGAGACAATGTCAGAAGTGTCTTCATCACTTTAAAAGGAACCTCAAGCTCTGCAAGCATTTAGCTTATAGTGGAGTAAAAGCTTGCAGGCTGCAGGTCATTGCGTTCCTGGTCAAGGGAGGATTAAGGGGAAGACCCGGGCCGTCGTCAGGCGCCAGTTCTTCAAGCTGCGGGGCCCGGGTGCCACGAATCTGAGCGTCCGGTCGCGGAGGTGCTCGACTCGTGGGCACGGGAGTAGCCTCGACGGACTGCGATGCAGTTCGACGCTCACACTCGCACAAGGCAGGCAAGGCTCCACATAGGTCACAGGATCTCAACTGCGACGCAATTGGGGAACAGGCTCGTCTTGCATTTGCTTGTACTTGCACCACTGTCCAGCGCCAGCGGCTCACCGCCCAGGCCTATGCGGAATCTGATCTGCAGGATGCTCCCATTGATGAGGAGCTACTCTGCTCTCTGGGCACCGTCATGGAGTGGGTTGCCACAGCCGACCGCTGTGCCTGTTTGCACATTCAGGGACAGTTCCCTGCTACTGGATGCCGTGGAGGTTGCTGCGACTCGGTTGCCGCCTGTTCTCCGAGGTGCCTCATGACCTGGTTGTGATCTGTGGTGGCCCTGACGAATGGTGCGAATCTTTCTGCGCCCAACAGCACATCACTTACCCGTTCTCGGAGTGCGTGTAGACACTGAACCGAGGTGAAGCGCTCTCCTTTTTGGAGGGTCCATTTGCGATTGAGTTTTGCCTATAGGGGATTGGAATGGATTTCGGAGTTGCCCTCCCGCCCGCACTCTTTCCACTACCTTCCAATACCTGGCCCTAGCAGCTCGCCAAGGGGACCTCATGCGTTTCGCCCCCGCTTCACTTTGGGGCCAAGGAGTTCCCGCCCGCATCCTCTTCTCTGATCGTTCTCGGCCTTATGTCCTTCCTCTCCTCGAGATCCGCGGCCTGGTCCTTCAGGAATCGAGTCGATGGCACATTTTGTGCAACGGTGGGTGAGCTCCTCCCTGTCGACCTGTTGCACCTCAATTAGATGCCTAAAGGGCTGCGGCCGTACAAGGTCTAAACCCCAAACAGGGTATGATAAACACCCACGCACCCGCATGACCCGGCACCGTGTGTCAGCCGCATGCTTTCTGAGGCAACGGCATCGCGAGGACCTATAGTTATAAACTCTAAAGGAACGGCACTGCCCTAAACCCCAAACCCTGAAGAAGCGGCATCCGTAATGCTAGCCTCAAACTCCGAAGTGTTTCAGCTCCAGTTTCAAAGACCGGGGCTGAGATTGGGCTGAGATTTCTGGAAACCTGACCCAATGCTTGGTCTGCAAAACCATGTAGTTATCTGCATCCTTCAACGAGTGCAGTCCCCAGGGCATTTGGTTGAAGCTTAGCCACAAGTAAAGGGGTTCTGAGCCCCGATTGCAGATTCTATACTGCTGCCGAAGACGCCAGATAATTGCCCCACCACTCGCTGTCAGAAGGCTCCGCTATCCGCGTGTAATGATGCAGCTGCATGAACTGGTCGTCCTGCAGGAGGAATTAATTAAGTTGATTTCAGTTCATCGGGCATCCGGGACAAGCTCACAAACAGCAGTTCCCACTGTTTTGGTTGGCCTTCTTCTAACTTTAAATTGCGTGTGCGTCGCATGTCAAAGCATCAGACAAGCTCTCCTGCAAGCCGTCCGAGGCAGCTTCTCTCAGAAAGGAGAGGAGGAGAAAGATGCATCCTACCCAGTGGCCCCAACCAAGCATAATGACCTTGGCATGCTGGTACTTTGATTTCGGATCGTGGTTTCAAGCCACCATGCATAGTCACGCCAGTCGAACGTTAACTGGCCCTCTTAGCCGGCCAGTGACACTACCGACTTCACTTGCGTATTTGCTTCGGGGAGTTGGTGCTAATGCTCCACGAGGGCCCTTTCAGGAGCGCCTTAAACACACGGCGACGAAGCAGCGCACTCTCAGTGCCTCTATCACCGAGTTTTGCCACGCGAACATGCAGAAGCATCGGCATGGAAAATGTGAATACCCCAACATACATCCGAGCCATGGCCTCGCGATTTCGGATTTAAGGGTGCAGGTATAGGGCAATACTCACGCTGCTAACTCTTCCGAGGCCCTTGCCGCCAGCTTGACAGTCACCCACATTGATCCGGAGCTGCTCTGCAATCGAATGTTCACATACATTTGCGTCTCTTGCTCGCTGAAAAAACCTGTGCATGTGCTCAAGTACTCAGAGGCTGCGAAGCACAGAAGAAGAAATGGCAGTTCGAGTCGGCACTTGATGCTGATAATTCCGTCCGTGCATATGCGGCGGTGGAAAGGGATGTATCAAACTTGAAAGAATTTTCCGTGGCAATGCTCGCTCAACGCTAAATAACCCAAACCTCAGGACAAAGTTGCAGCCAAGACTCGCTTGAGGTACGTCAATGGCAAGTTTTGTCGCATCAACTTGCCTCAGCTTGTTAAGTAAATTTCATAATATGTCAGTAGTGGCCCTGATTACAAGGCCCATTTTAAGCGCATAGCTGAATCACGGGCCATAACAGGGTTTAGGTCGTGCTGTAGACATCTCATGCATTTTCTTTCAGACAGCCGCACCTCCAGCCGCTTCACAAGGCATAACTAAGTCAGGTGAGAGTCTCCCAAGTTATTCTCAAAGCCCATAAGTGCAACCACCCATGAGCAAGGCTATGGGCTGTGGGTTTACCTGTGCTTTCTCAACTCCACATCAGGGACGACGGTAGTGGACGACGGTCACCCCTGCCATGTCTTGGTAAAAGGAAGATGCTTCCAAGGAGATGAACAACTGCGGAATATTGCTGCTACCACGATACCACCGTAAAGAACCACAAAAGCAAGCAAGCCGCTGGGGGTCGAACCATGGAAGCAAGCAAGATTGCATGAGTCAGTGGCATGAAAGTTCAGATCGACATGACCACGACATGTCCCAAAACACCCGTTGCGTGGTGTAGAAGGGACCCTTAAGCCGAAGCCGGGCGGGAAGGGCGGAGTGGGCATGCCCTTGAGCAAAGGCGCAGATCATGAACATCAGCAGAACAAGGTCCTCCGCCACACCTTCGGCGACGCGCCCCTGTCAAAGTTCAACAAATTCAAGCAGCAGCAATAGTAACGCGAAAACTAGCAGCAGTGGTCGCAGCAAGAGGCGATTGACAGCATAAGCCGGCGCCACACACATAATATACTAGCAGTAGCAGTAGCAACAAGAACAGCAGCTGTAGCAATAACAGCAGTGCTGTCATCACGGTAGCAGTAGTAGGTGGTGGTAGTAGTAGTAGTTGTTGTCGTCGTCGGTGGTGGTGGCAGCGGTAGTAGTAGTAGTAGTCGTCGTCGTCGTCGTCGTCGTAGTCGTAGTAGTCGTCGTCGTAGTCGCAGTGGGGAGTAGCTAGTAGGGAGTAGGCAGTCGGCAGGAGGTAGAAGTAGGAGGTAGGCAGTAGAAGGTAGTACGTAGTACGTAGTACGTAGTAGGTAGTAGGTAGTAGGTTGTAGGTTGTAGGTAGTAGTAGTAGTCGTCGTCGTCGTCGTAGTCGTAGTCGTAGTCGTAGTAGTAGTAGTAGTAGTAGTAGTAGTAGTAGTAGTAGTAGTAGTAGCAGTAGCAGCAGCAGCAGTAGCAGCAGCAGTCGTAGTAGTAGTAGTAGTAGCAGCAGTAGTAGTAGTAGTAGTAGTAGTAGTGCTAGCTTTTTGTAGCGGTAGCAGGAGTAGACCTAGTAGCAGCAAGGAGAGCAACATCAATAGTGGTAGTAGAAGTAGTAGTCGTAGCAGCAGCAGCAGCAGTAAGTAGACGTAGTGGTAGTAGTAGGAGTAGGAGTAGGAGTAGGAGGAGGAGTAGTCCTGGTGGTGGTGGTGGTGGTGGTGGTGGTGGTGGTGGTGGTGGTGGTGGTGGTGGTGGTGGTGGTAGGTTTTTGTTATTCACTTGGCATGCCTATGACAGCTCCGTGGGTAGTAGAAGTTGTCAGCAGGAGTAGTCTGCAGCAGCATCATCAGTCGTGCCAACAACAATGACAACAACGGCCAACATCATAGTCACCCAAATGAGAGTGCTGCAAATGCGCTGTCGTGGTGTCGTGCTTCATTGCAGTAACTGGAGATCCAAAGCTGTTCCGTGTCATGTGTGAAGCAGTCCTTGTTCGCCTCCACCTCCATTTCTTGTAGCCGCAAGAGGATCATTCCATGCGCGAAGCTTCCTTACCAGGCATTGGGCATCAGATCACAGCCAGTCTAACCGGCAAGCTTCGAGATGCTAAGCGCGCGGTCTGCGCGATCATCGCTTGCGGTGAAAGCCACTTAGTACATATGCAAATGGTAGTTTGTGTGCAATTCGACCCCGTGAATCTTAGAACCTAGCATCTTGTCAGCTGCGCAGAGCCATCGTCGACTTCAAAATGTGTGTCCGGATGACAGACATACCAAGAGAACATGTGGCGACGACCTTTCCATCAGGACTGGTAGTAAAGAACGAGCTGTCATACATGTAACCTCTGTTTGGACCCTAGGTAGGCGCCTGTACCGAGATGTTCCGAAGATCCGATTACAAAGGTCCTGTATCCAAGGAGTTAGCTGACTGCCAGATTCCGCCACACTTAATTCAAGCCTGAATCCCAACACCCTCAATGATCTGCCATCCACCGTCCACAATGGCCGAGAAGAAATCCGCAAAGCGCAACAACGCAGATGAGTGGACTCAAGTCTTGATTTAGTTCGCTCGCTTTCGGCTCCATCTACATCCCCAATGAAATCCATGCTGAATATGTATGACTGGTTTCATGATTGCAGAGGGCTTTCGTGCAAAGGGGGCAGGGGGTATGCCATCGGCTCCATGCGTGCATAGGTATGGTTTGGGGGTGAAACGATTGATTCGACGACCCATTGCTTTCTGCTCAGTCGTATGGTATAGTTATAGCCCATGGATCGAGACCTCTCTTCATCTCTCCACGCACATAGGGCCGGCAGCTATTGGTTGAAATCCTAAACCCCAACCCCCGAAACGGCTGGTTTTCAGCTGTGAGTCCCAGTCAGTCCTGCAGATTCAGGATTAAGTCTGGCCACGGGTTCGCAGCTTAAACCACAAACATTGGTACAGCCCAGAGTAGTCAGAGTAGTAAGGTAATAACAGGCAAATCCACTAGCATCATTCTTTGGAGCTTGCCTGTAGAAGGTTCAGAAGCTCTCTTCACGGTATCCCGGGTTCAGCAATCTTTGAACACAGATCTTATGAGCACACGCACTTGACATGGTTGTGATGCAACTAAGACTACCCCATCGGTTGGCAGATTAAAGCGAGTGCAAAGGACCACTTTCGAGAGTCGTTTGGTCCTTATCGCTCTGGCGCCGAGCGACCAACGACGATGAGCAATACAGCGAAGACGGCTTGGAGCCAAATGGACCTTGCTTTCTGCACGCCACCTTGGCTGTGAACAAGTATGCTTGGGGTTAGAGGGTTCCGGGTTTCGACTCCTACACTTCCACAATGCAGGCACGGATTCAAGCGACAGGTCCCACTACAAAAAGGGTTTCGGGACCAGGGCTTTGTGCCGGTGTGCCATTGCAGGGATTCCTGGCTAAGCAGACTTCGATTGACATCTGCTGAGAGAAACTGCTGCATTCTGTGTGCGCGCGTCCTCCCGGGCTTGCCCGCCTGAGGAAAGTGTTTTAGGGAGTTAGGCTGTAAGACCCTGTAAACCTGAAACCCTGAACCTTGAACCCCAACTCCCTTTTGCAGCAGTCCCAAACTCCCTAAACCGTGAACCCCAAACCGCAAACACTGAACTCCAGAATCGGGGTCGCAAGACGATGGCCTTTAAATGAAAAGGACAAGAAGCTTGTGAAGAACTTGGCGATGGACCGGAACAGCTTTACAGTCGATCTCCTGCGGAAGATTGTCTAAACGACCCGCAATCCGCCGAAATCTCAAATCTTCAACCCTGACCCCTTTAGGGTTTAGGGTTTAGGATTCCTAACCCCAATGCCTCAACCCCCCAAATTCGAAAATCCTACACCCTCAAAAAGAAGCTGCAAACTTGTGCCCCTAGCCCTGGCACCCATCCTTCTCGTCAGGACCTCTTTGCCTTAAGTGTTTCATGTGTGGCTTCAGGGTTTTAGGTTTAGGGCTGCAAAAGCTTTAGGGTTTGGACATCTGTTTCTGAAAGTAACAACACACACGACATTCACGATTGCCGTGGTAAGGAGAAGAATGAGAAACCGAACATCGAATGTGTTGAACAGCACCAGTTCCGAGCAGTACTTATGGACTGACGAAGGCCGAATAACTGCTTAGTTGTTAGTTTCAAGGTTGGGGGGTACTAATGTTTTTGTATACTTCTACAGGGGCTGTATAAGGACTAACGAATGCTGGGCAAGCATGTCGCATTCCTGCAACTGCGCACATCATCAGTCTCCAGCTCTTGGAGCTTGGCCTGCATTTGTGCGTAAGGCCCTCGGGGTCGGGAGTGTTGATTCTGATCAAGGCATCAGTTCAGGGATGCACAGGGTCCAGATCGACATGCGTCTCGCATTGGAGGGTTTGGAAGTGCCAGAAGGAATGCAGGAGACGTCAGTCTGCGCATCTACCCGCAACACAAGAAATTAGTAGCAGGAAAACATGCGCTTTCTTCAATCCATACCGGTCGCATGACAAATGCTGAGCCCCCCGCCCCCAACAGGAGGAGTCGTTTTGATTCTTGTTGCAGACCACATCGAAGCCGATATCATAACCCCACGGAGCTCAAGGGCCCGCCCATGCCTTGTAGAACTCTGTCAGGATGCTTCTGTCCGCGGGAGAGTACTCCAAGAACCTCGTGGCGCGATCGTCTTGAATTGTATCGGCCGTGACCCCTTTGCGATTCTTAGTATTAGGAGTCAGCTTCCGGGGGTCCTGATGGCATGTCTGGGGTCTAATTATATGTATAGTTTGAGGCTTGGGCTTGTCCATAGCAACTAAACCTGTTGGGTGGGACCACCTTGGCCCGCATAGGGTCTCCCTGACAGGCTTTGAGACTGAGGCTCCATAAAGCCGAAATCCTGCTGGACATGGGACATCCAGCCGCAGACTACAGTGTTACGCGGCTGACAAGTTCGGCACCCTAATTACCCTGGACTTGTATACCTTGCTCCGAATATGCAACCCTGTGCCCTAACTTGGACCATAAACCCTAACCAATTCCTAGACCCTAAACTTTCCGGGGTCTGGAAGGTCCCCCAGGAAGCAATCCTCGCCTCTTCATCGCCGCCTCCGGGAGTTCGAACACCTCGCAGTCCGTGACGACCTCGTCGCCGGAGTTTTCCAGGCATCTTTATGCAAATAGGGATGTTTTGAGGGTTGGAACTATATAATTAATAGCGTCCAGGGGCGTCGGGTTTAGGATGCTCAAGTTGTGTTGCCGACTGACGGCAAACGCTCAACTTCACGGCGGAGCACTCTGGACTGCGTACTGCGCCTGTCCTGTTGCTACCATGACGACAACCCTTCATTCGAACTCGTGGTGTTGGTGGTGCTGCTGCTTCCTGGCGTCGTGGTCGTGCTCTGTTGCTTCTGGTGGTGGCGCCAGCCACGTCGTACAGTGTGCCTCAATGGTTGAACCCTATATCCTAAACCCTAAACCCTAAATCCTAAACCCTAAATTCCCACCCAGGCCTGCGTGGGCCGCACCCACCCTTTTTCTTAGGGTGCCTGGACCCAGCAGGAAATCCGGCAGTGATTGACGCCAACTCTGGTGGTCGAATTCAGCCCCTAAGACTGAGCCAAGCCATTAGGTCGTCTTTTCTGGGCCTGGCCCCCCCTGGCCCGCCCTGGCGCCCCCTGGCCCCGCCCTGGCCACCTGGCCCTGACCCTCTGTTTTGTGGCGTGTGTAGCCTCTCCTGCCCTGGTGCGGCCTTCCTGGCCCCAACAAACAGACCAGGGGCAGGTGGGAATTGAGGGCGTAAGCCCTAAACCCTAAAAGGCAATATTCTGGGTGGTAGCCTGTGTACTCTCACAGCGGGTGGGAAAGGGTCAGGAACCAATGTGTAATTGTTTGGTGGTGGAATCGCATTCGAACGCTAGACGTACATAGAAAATACTGCCGCTGCGCGGCGAGACACCCTAAACCCTAACCCCTAAGCCCTAAACCGGTTTGCCGGCAACCCGGCCTCCACTCGCTGTTCGGTGTTGGCCTGCTCGAGGTCGAAGACCTCCATGGAACGTTGCTATTCGGGAGTTTCCGAAAATTAGGGGTACCTGATTTTGGGGTCCTTATAATAAGGATCCTAATATTTAGGGGACTATATTATAGGGCCCTCTATTTTCGGAAGCTCACATTTTTTGCCTGCTGCATGGCTGAATACACGAAGCAGGGCAGTAGGTCCGCTAGCTCTGTCCTCTGAACAGCGAAGGCCCCTGGTGGCACGCTCCAAAACAGAAGTTGGGTTTTTACCGTGCTTAGATGTATGAGGCTTGCTGCACACCAATGGCTACGATCAAGGGTGCGACGATAAACAGCAAAACCCTCTGCCACAGGCTTTTCGGAGGATTCCTGGGGGAAATCCACCTGGCCGTTGGGGCCTGCGGAACTACTGTGCTCAAGAGGCTTTGCACTGCTATATTTCCAAACTGACGAACCTTCCACTGAAAACCGTAGGTAGGGTACTCTAGATCCAACCTAACATCCGAACCAGCTGCAGATCCGCAGAGCAAAGTTTTCTCCTACTTGGCAGGGTCTCCTATACCGGAGCGCCCGACCACCAAAACACATAGTTGAAAAATGCGGGGGGGGGGGGGCAATGGTATTACACGTTTGTTCTGGCTTCTGTGGTATCGATACTGGTTGCAGCAGGTAGAAGAGTTGAACTGCAACTGACACTCAATTAGAATAGTTGCAAGGAAACTCCCTGCCTTGAACTCGCCAAGAGTCCCGCCCTCACCTCAGTGTTTTTGTCGCAATGCACTGTTGAGAAGTCATGTAACCGGAAAGAGAGAACGTCATCAGCCTGCACTCTGTAAAACCGGCCTCTCCAAGCACTCCAAATCCCCACAAATCCGTGTGTCTAGGATAGTACTAGCCGTGAGTAGGCACCGTGGGTGGCACATGAGCAACAACAGGCAGCAGCACAGAAGACATCCATTCGTACACAAAGGTGCAGGAGACTAGCTCGCTGAGCTGCCCCATGTCCTTGAACCATGGTCCGTTCGTCGCAGTAGACGTGGCATTGCAGAAATACTCATAACAGTACCTCTCAGACTCCGGTTCCTGCAAAAAACAGTCACTGGAGCGAGCCTGAATATGAAAAATCATGCAGGACCCAAAATATTGTCGCAGGTACAACACCTCTGCAAGCCCTTCCTTTCTCTTCCCCAATGATCTTTACTATGTCTGCTCGAACTAGAAAAGTGAGCATCAACTGCAAAGACATGTACAAGCGCGAGGAGTGCATTCTGGGGTCTACCATCTTTGCCATCGCTGCTCAAGCTACTGCACTTCGACCTTGCTTATGTCTTGTCCCAAGATGCTCACCAAAGACCCGCGTGTGTACGCATGCGCATGTGCACTTTGAACTAGCACGGTGCATTTCTTTGGTCCTACATGGGAGTTTTCGAAAATAAGGGGTACCTTATTTTGGGGGTCCTTATAATAAGGATCCTAATATTTGGGGTGCTATATTAGGGCCCCCCATTTTCGGAAACTCCCATATGGGGTTCTTAAAAAGGATCCTACTATTTAGGGTACTCTATTAGGGCCCCCTATTTTCGGAAACTCCCATATGGGGTTCTTATAATAAGGATCCTAGTATTTGGGGTGCTATATTCGGGCCCCCTATTTTCGGAAACTCCCATATGGGGTTCTTATAATAAGGATCCTAGTATTTGGGGTGCTATATTAGGGCCCCCTATTTTCGGAAACTCCCACAATCAGGATCCTAATATTTGGGGTACTATATTCGGGCCCCCTATTTTCGGAAACCCCCACATATCCATACCCCCGGAAACCTGACGACTGAGCCTGGCACGAATGTACGTCACACGGCTACCTGCTCCCAGGCTCCGGAAGGAAAGGCACGACTGTTGAACTGCTGGGATTTAGGGTTTAAAGGGAAGACGGCAAGGCTTCAGAAGGCAAAAGCAGAATGCCAAATGGTTCAAATGATCACCTTGCGATCATGGAACAGTATGTCGTGGAAATGGGCAGGTAACGAACGCCGAGAGCGTGATCGTGCCGATTTCTACGCCTGCTGCGCATTGTGAAAGCAACGCGCCGAAGAAGAAACAGCACAGAAACTACCACAAATGGATTTCGGTCTTCCGGCTTTGCCGCCAGATATGCAGCAGCATGTGTTTTGGCAGGGCATCTTATTCGGTAAGATTTGACCTCCAGCACCTTCAAGAAGCCGCTACTCAAACCCGAATCTTGTGGACCTGCAAGTCGTTCGGGGTTTAGGGGTCTAGGGGTTTCGGGTTTAGGCTAAAACTAAGGTTCGTTGTCGAGAAAAAAAACATCTGGTCCAGTTGAGCCGTCGTCCACCCCACTGGTTGCTTGATTTCTCCACATCACCTTCGACCGAACTTCACAGGATCGTGTCAGGCCACCAAATCCCATGCACTCATCGCCCAACCTGCTGAACCCGAAAAGCTCCCGAGTCAAAGCTCAGACCGCAACTCGTAAACGACGGCACCCAAAGCCATCAACGACGGTCGCGAAGCCCCAAAACCCAAACCCGCAATGATACAGATCCATTTTCGTCATGGCGGACCGTCGCGGAAGATCACTTCTCCCTCCAGGATCAAGAACAAGCTCGTGTTGTCATCGTGTTCGGTGTAGAGCACCTACGGTGCGGATGATTTGACAGCTCCAGGCTTAGTGCTGCCACTGCATCAAAGGAAGCCAAGGTGATGTTTGTTGAGAAGACGGGTTGGGTTGAGAAAGATGGTACCCGAGACTCTACTCGACAAAAGCCCGCACTGGTTTCTATCCTTTGGCTGCATCCGAGTTCATGTATGCCACGATCTCGAGCATAGTGCAGCTTCCAAAATTGGGACAGATTGGCCCCATATTTGGCTCTAGTCGGGCGGTGGTGCAGTTACTCAAACCGGGCAGGACTCCCAAACCAAACGCCCGAAACGCCCAACCCTACGACACGCACCTCCCCCTTCTTCTTGGAGACCACAGATCCGACGTCGACGATCTTAAGCCTGAGCGGAGCGACGAAGCAGTGCAGCTTCTATGCTATACTACACCATATTAACCTACAGCTACTCTCTCATATGATGAAAGAATATAACAAATAGGTTGTGAGGCATCTTGATTCACTGCATCACATTGCATTCTACTATAAAGTTGTGTACTATGCTATATTAAGGGAGACTGAATTACAAACAAATGAGCATACTATCATAATGATGTCATATCGTATTGGCATTCTATAACATACTACGTTGCAGAGTTTTCTCTGTTCTGGGATTTCTTTAGGCTGAATTTTATTGGATTACATTAGATCAGCCTAGATAAGAATTGAACAACTTCTGTATGATATAACTACTATGATAATATATTGTACCGTCTACTGCCACATTATATCGTTCATTCTATGTTGTATCAGGCTGCAAGAGCCATGGCTGGGGCTCCAGCAAGAACTCAGAGCTGCAGGATGAGAATCCCGGCAGTCGTGTAAACAAAGTCCTGGTCAGATTGTAGGCGCTGGTCTACGACTGGAAAGTTCACATCGCAACACTGCAGAATGCCGGATGTGACATGCCTTCGCTTCCATGGAGCTGTCGCCAAACATGGTTATTCTCACAATCTCTCGCATCGATTTGATGTGTCTTCACCAAGCTCACACACTGCATGCCTGCACGCAACAGTGCTTACATTACCGGTCACCCGCTATTTACCATGGTAACATCTGCGAATTTCCTGGACTCATCGGACTTCAGTATTTGTTGAAAGGGGTCTGAAGTTGACGCTGCCGCAACACAATTCGCACGTCCAAACATACTGCCTTGCTTTCTGCGTCAGCTGCTGCTGTCGATCCACCTGCGTCAAGAAACATGATTCACAAGCTCCTTGCCGTAGCAGAACAGCTTCGGTATGTCGAATGGCCGCAGAAACAACAGTGACAGTTTCGGCCGGAGGGGTGGAGGACGTGTTGAAAGTGAAGGCAACACCGAGGGGCCGTCTGAGCGTCAGACCCAAAGCACACTTCCCCCATGAGAACATGCTTTGCACCTCGTATAGATATCACTCCAACAAGACATCTGACGGACAGCCGCCACGCCTGCCGATATTTTTCGGCTAAGAATGCCTATTTCCTGCCTGCATAATCGACTGTGATTTTGGTATTCTCCAGGACGAAGAAACATGCAAGCGACCGCATCAGGAAGACAGAAGCAGCAATGCAAATCAAGGTCGCTTTCGGAGATCCCGAAAAGAGGCCTTCGTTGACGAAGAGGTAACGAGTCGGCATAAGAAACCAGCTAAGGCGCACCCACGCGCCCTACAACACCAGACCGTAGTAGTAGTAGTAGTAGTAGTAGTAGTAGTAGTAGTAGTAGTAGTAGTAGCAGCAGCAGCAGCAGTAGTAGTAGTAGTTGCTGTTGTCGCAGCCAGTAGCAGTAGCAGAAGCAGTAGCAGGAGCAGCAGCAGCAGCAGGAGCA